CCCTGAATTAACTGCTGTCAGAGTGACTGACGGAATGGACCTACGGTCCGTCAATCAATCGACAGTCCGTCGATTGGGTCCGTAGGTCGAGTCTGCCCGACAGGGCTTCATTAAAACGGGCATAACATTTTACTCGGAGGTCGGAATTTAGCAAACTTGGTGGCGTTGGAAAGATAATTCAATTATCTATCTAACCATAGTTCATGGTACACATAATTCATTTTGTTCTGAGAGTTATGACCATCTGAAGTTGACCCATCAATATTTTTAAGCTAACTGGCTGCTGACCCTCATCTACGGTCAGACCTACCGACCGTGGATTGAATGATGGTCCGTGCTGGTCGATCGTAGTTTGTGTCAGAGGCTCGGTAAGGGAAGTCTCGATCCACGAACACAGACCACGGACCGTGGTCTAATCTACGGACCGTGAGTCTGTCCGTGAGTCGGGACTTAGCCAAATTTTCTGACTGAGTTCTGGGGAAGTTTTCTGTCACGAACCACGGACCTACAGGATGGACCGTGAGTCCATCTACGGTCCGTGGATGGTGTTCGTGAGTGCCACCTGTAACACCAGAAATTTGAAATCTCTATTTTCGGATACGGGGTGTTACATGGGTGGTGGAATGGGACGCCATCTATGCATTGCACAAGTAGGCATTTGAGGGAGGTCATGGTGTGTTCCTTATAATGTTAATGAAACGAATGGGCTCTCATGATGATGGTAATGAAGGTGTTGATCTTATGTCTAATAAATGAAGGTGTTATTAACGAAGTTAATGAATGGGTGACTTAAATACTTATATGTGTAATGTAAGAATGCATGCTATATTTGGGTGGTATATATATGAGTTACTTCCTTGTTATGACTTATTGAGTATGAATGTGCCTAGTCTATGGTGACTTCAAAGGAGCACTTAGTGTGAGTAGTAGTATGAGATTCTACTTGCACATTGCACAAGTGTGACTTAGAGTTATCTTAGGTGATGGTCCTTATGTAATGATTATATCTTAGTTAATGGTTATGTCTTTATGAATGAATATTGTTGAATGTGGAAAGGTTGAATGGTAAGTTTACTTTTGGTGACCTTAAGGTGTTACCTTGGTGTAAGGTGTTGCCTTGGTGTGGACGGTGGTATGGGACGATATCCATACATTGCACAAGATATATCCTAAGGGTTACTTGGAGTGAAGGTTTATGTGAAGGTAATGGGTAATATGTGTTGAACATGTCTCTATTGTGATAAATGACTTGTATGTTGGTTATATTTGAATATTATGACTCCTATTCTTGTATTCATGAAGTTTTATCTAAATGGAATAAAGGCATGACTTTCAAACAACTGTCCTTTTTAAGTATGTTTTTGTATGGCTATTATACTTAGTACTTAATTGTGCTAACCCATTCCTCTTCTATCTTTTACTACTAGTGTAGGTTCCGACAATTGATTGCATTCTCTCAAGTGATGCTTGGATTAGAGTTCTCCAAGACATTTTGGGTATGTCCTCATAGATCGAGGACAAGGAATTTTCATGTTTCTAGTTCTTTTATGTTTTAAGATTATTGTTAAGACTTCAATTATAAAGGGGCGTGTCCCTACTTTGTTTCAAGTAATTTTTTAAGATGGTCATGTGAGACGTTAGACTTCCGATTGGTTTTAAATGACTGTCTTTAGATTGTATGGTTTTTTTCATTAAAATTTTTTAATTCCATGTTATTTCTATTACCTATGAGATGAATTAATGCTATGAGGCTTGTATAAGACCCCTTTAGGGTTGAGTACACCGTGTCGCTTTCGGGCTATAGTTTCGGGTCGTGGAAAACATGGTATCAAAACACAAGGCTTTGGGAATTGTGTTAGGATCAATGTCTCACAAGCGACGTGTAGTAGAGTCTTGTTCATCAGTGTGAGTCACAACACATATATGAGTGAGAGGCTATAGGACGTTAGAAAGTTACACTTCTTTCATTATTCTTGAAGCCGTTCCATAGAGCTTAGTTCTATAAGTGTCCTTTTCCTAATACTTCTCTTGTGTTTATAGGATATGAATACAAGAAGGACGCCCACAAGGAGATTGGAAGAGGAGATTGTTAATGAGGGAGTTCCTCCCCAAGGTGACCAAGGTCTTCAAGGTGACCAAGTTCCTTTAGGCAATCAATGAAATCATGTTTTGGTGGGTCCCCCAGACATGACCAATGAAGAGATTAGGACGACTTTCCTAACCCTAGCCCAATCTATGACGGCTCAAGTGAATAGAGATGTGGCGCCTAGGGTGAATGCTAATGAAGGTACCATGGCCTCAAGGTTGAGAGACTTTGTGAGGATGAATCCTCCTATTTTTCTTGGCTCTAAAGTGGTAGAGGATCCCCAAGAATTCTTGGATGAAGTATATAAGATAATCAATGCTATGGGAGTAACTTCTAGGGAAAAGGCAGAGTTTTCTTCCTATCAATTGAACGATGTGGCCCAAGTGTGGTTCACTCAATTGAAAGTCAATAGGCCGGTTGAACTGGGTCCTATATAGTGGGAGGTTTTTAAGAGAGCTTTCCTTAGTAAGTACTTCCCCGTGAGAAGAGGGAGGTTAACATGGAGGAGTTTATAAACCTTACGCAAGGTACTATGACTGTGGAGGAGTATTCCTTGAAGTTTAACCTATTGTCTAAGTATGCTCCATCCTTGGTGTCTAACCCTAGATATGAGATGAGTAGGTTTGTTATCAGTGTATCTGACCTAGTTAAGGAAGAGTGTCGTACGGCGATGCTCCATGATGAGATGAATATCTCTAGACTTATGGTGTATGCTCAATCTATTGAGGAGTCCAAACTTAAGAGTATGAGTAGGGATTTGAAGAGGTCTAGGCTCGATGAGCAAAGTCAACCAAGGTCCAAAGAGAGGTACTACAATCAAGATTCCTCAATGGCTAACAATGACAGGTTGTCTAACCCTAAATCTCAAGGAGGGAAAGAAAGTGGTTCTTCTTCTTTTGAAAGGCCTAGGTGTGCCGAGTGTGGGAAGCAACATTTGGGTAAGTGCCTTATCGGCACAGATGGGTGCATTGGGTGTGGAAAGAAGGGTCTCACGATGAAAGATTGCCCAACACTGATGGCAAAAGGGAGAGAAACCAACCAATATTCTCTTGATGACCTGGATGTTAATGCTCCAAGGAATAATTGTTTCTATGTTCTTCAAGCTAACAAAGACAAAGGAGCTAATCCGGATGAAGGTACTTGTAAGTGATAGTTCCTTATAATGAGAATGTCTTATTGAGGTTCTTATGTTGTCTTATGTTGACCTTAGTTGGGTTTACCCTAGAGTGGGGGATAGTATGTTGAATAGTAAGGTTGTTGAGAGTGTTTGATGTCCTTACCTCTTTCCTTCTATTCCTATTCAAGCTTGAGACCAAAAGTTCCTTCTAGCTTGTTCCATGTTTTGGAGTCATGTGTGATTGCATGGTCTCCTTATATTATGCATGTTCTATTTGAATTCTTGTTTAATGAGAAAATGAGTTTTCATGAATTATGTTCCTATCCCATAACTATGTGCCCACATAGGATATTAGCCAGCGGATTTAATCCAAGCTAAGGATTCATCCGAGATAATGTTATCGTTTTACCTTAGGCAAGTGGAACACCTCTTTACAGTGTAGGGCTATATGACAACGGATTCCATGTCTAGCTTTCATGGTCTATGTCGGTTAAAAGCTTATTCCAATCATGTGAGATGTGCATTATGGTTTCTTGAGAGGTTCTATAAAGTGTAGGTGGTAGTATGTGATGCCACCTATACATTGCACGAGTAGGCTTTGATAGGATCATCATGAGTTCTCTAAGTCTTAATGACAAATGTGTGAAAGTCCTTTAAAGGAACTAATTGAAGAATGTTGACTCCTAAATGCTTAATGTGATATGATATATCTCTTATATAAGGATATTGTGAAAAGGTGAAAAGGAAGGAATGCTAAGTTCACTCTTGGTGGACTTAATGTGGTTCCTTGATGTGGATGGTGGTATGGGACGCCATCCATGCATTGCACAGGGTATGTCATAAGGGTCATTTAGAAGTGAAGGTCTAAGGTGAAGGTAAAGGTTATCATGTTGATATTGTCAAGCCACGTCTAGTAGAGTCTTGTTTATCGGTGTGAGTCGCAACACATCTATGAGCGAGAGGCTATAGGACGTTAGAAAGTTACACTTCTCTCATATTCTTGAAGTCGTGCCTTACAGTTTAGTTCTATGAGTGTCCTTTTCCTAATCATTTCTCTTGTGTTTATAGGATATAAATACAAGGGCTAACCTAAGGAGAATGGAAGATGAGATCATTAATGATGGAGTTTCTCCCCAAGGTGACCAAGTTCCTCTAGGCAATCAAGAGAATGAAGTTTCGGTGGTTCCCCCGGACATGACCAATGAAGAGATTAGGGTGGCTTTTCTAACCCTAGCTCAAGCCATGACGACACAAGCTAATCAAAATGTGGGGCCTAGGGTGAATTCTAATGAGAGTACCGTGGCCTTAAGGTTGATAGACTTTCTGAGGATGAATCCTTCTATCTTCCTTGGATCTAGAGTGGGAGAAGATCCCCAAGAATTCTTTGATGAATTTTATTAGATATTCAATGCTATGGGAGTATCTGCTAGGGAGAAAGCAGAGTTGGCTTCCTATCAATTAAAAGAGGTTGCCCAAGTGTGGTTCACTCAATGGAATGTCAATAGACCTCTAGAAGTAGGTCCTATAGAATAAAAGGAGTTTATGGGAGCTTTCCTTGGAATGTACTTTCCATGTTAGAAGAGGGAGTGTAAGCTGGAAAAGTTTATCAATCTTAAGCAAGGTAGAATGAGTGTGGAAGAGTTCTCCTTGAAATTTACCCTCTTGTCTAAGTATGTTCCATCCTTGGTGTGTAACCCTAGAGATTAGATGAGTAGGTGTGTGACAGGTATATCCGACCTAGTTGAGGAAGAGTGTCGTACGGCGATGTTCCATAATGATATGGACATTTAAAGACTTATGGTGTATGCTCAATCTATTGAGGAGTCCAAACTTAAGAGGAATGGTATGGAGTTGAAAAGGGGTAGGTCCGATGAGCAAGGTCAACCTAGGTTCAAGAAGAGATCTCCTAACCAAGATTATTCTAGTGCTTCTAAGGATAATGAGGAAAAAGGTGGTGGGTCTCAATTTTCTAAACCTTTTTATGCCACTTGTCGGAAGAGGCATCATGGGAAGTGCCTTGCCAGTACTAGTGGGTGCTCTAGTTGTGGAAAGAATGATCACCAAGTGAGGAATTTTCCTACTCTTACGGCTAGGGGAAAGGAGGCCAAACAAGCTTCTTATGTTGTCCTGGATCATAATGCTCCAAAGAAGAATCGTCTCTATGCTCTACAAGCTAGCAAGGATAAAGGAGCTAATCCGGATAAAGGTACCGGTAATTTTTAATTCCTTTTGTTGTGATGAGATTCTTTTGTTGTTGTTCATATTATGATTAGTTGGGTTTTTCTCCTAAGTGGGGAATGATATGTTGAATAGTAGGTTGTGGTGAGTTTTGATATTCTTGTCACTTTCTTTTATTACTATTCATGGTTGAGACCAAAAGTTCCTAGTATCTTGTATCATGTTTTGGAGTCTTATGTGAAAATGAGTTTCCATGTTCTCCTTATGTTATGCATGTTTTGATGAGGTTTATGTTCATAAGAGAAAATGAGTTTTCATGATGTATGTTCCTCAAGTTGATACGCATCTATGATGAGTTGCCTAAATGTTTCATGAGTTGACTTGTTGTACATGCTTGAATCTGTTCTTGAAAGGGTTGCATAATTGCCTAATGATATTGTAATGAGTATGATGTGATGTGTAGAAGGAAGTTCCTCCCATGGAATGAGAAATGTTAATGATTTGTGCATAATAAGTTGGTAGATTTTGTTCCTACCTTCTTGTATATGCATTGCGCTTATTGATGTGGAGTTGATGTTTCCTCCTATGGTTTATGCACTATATTGATGTTGCATGCATAATTGTGGGATCCTAGTGTTGAGTCGTTTTCCCTTAATGTTTTAAAGTGTCATTCGAGGGCGAATGTTCCTAAGTGGGGGATAATGTAACGACTCAGAAAAATAGTAGGTTGAACTAGAGCATTAATGTGATAGTTTATGTCAAAAGCTAAGGTGTTATGTAGCCAAACATTAATGTAAGTGCTAGACCCCTAAGTTAACAAGACCTTTTAAGGTTTGGTTGAGGGGGCAAGGCCAAGAGCCAATCCAAAAAGGGGCAAGTCTAAGCCAAAAACCAAGGCTGCCCCACGTTGGCTAGACATAACACGAGCACTTTCACGGCCAGTGATCTTGACCAGGGTCCGTGAAAAGGCTCGTGAAGGTCCTTAGGCATGTGTGAGGCATGGCATTTAGGCCTAGCCACTGCCTAGGAACCACAACCTTCACCATGACTTGTGGTCTTGACCACGGAGCGTGAGAGGTGTCGTGGTCTTGCCTTGGCATTGTGGGAGCCTAGGGTGCAAGAGATAACCTTTAGCCACTGCCTACCATCACCATGAGGGTCTTCACGACCCGTGGTGTCCACCACGAGCCATGGGGCCACCTGTGGTGGGAAAAATAGTGTGCTTGCTAGGCTGCCCAAGGAAGGCTCTCCTTCACGAGCCACTTCACGGCTCTTGGTGAACACCAAGGACCGTGGTAAGGCTCGTGTGATTTCCTTCATTACTTGGGATCCTTGCCATTATGAGTAGGCTACTGCCTAAGAGGACCACGGGCACCACCACAGGCCGTGGTCCCCTTTCACGGTCCGTATAAATGACCTTGGTCATTGACGGGGTTGCCTAAATGAGGGTGTTTTTAGTAAGTTTGTTTTAATGTTTTATTATGTGGGGTTTATTTTAAATGGTTTATATCATTAGTATATATAGTTTTAAGTATTTTAACAAGTCACTTACCCCATTATTCAAAGCAGCCAAATCAAAATCCCAAAGTTCTTCCTCTCTAAATATTTCTCTCTCTAACTCAAGGAAGAAGAAGAGTGGGAGCTAGGGTTTGGATTCGAAGATTTCTTCATCAAATTTCGTTTGGAAATCTTTGTAAAAGGTATAGTGATCCTTCATCTAGAGTTAGCTTTCACCCTAGAGTCAATTTCAAAGAAGTTTCAAGCTTATCAAATTCTTGAAAAACCTAGGGTTTTACTCAATCTCATGGGTTCTCTCTTCAAATGATTTCAAATGGTTTCTAATGTCATATATTGATTGTATTTATGGTTAACTGATGATTTATGGTGAAAATACTCTATGAACCCATGATTTCTCTCAATTTCTAAATCGTGTCTTTATGAAGTGGGTTTGAGGATTATGAAAGCTTATGATTGAAATATGTCTTAATTACTATGGGTTATTGAATTGTATCATTATCTATGCCTTAATTATGGTAAATTGTTGGTATGTTGATGTTTTGAGATTTATGGCCTAGAAGGCAAGTAATGACTAAATTACATGTTGAAGTAGAATTGTGCTAGAGATGTTGATCCACTTGAAAGGTGGAGATGTTTACTTACTTAGTATATGAATGCAAATTTAGTGATGTTAAGTTTATCATGTTGTGAATGTAAGTGTGTTATTATTGAAAGGCTATTTCTAAATTTGACACTCATGTATGATGATGATGTAATGTGAAGTGTTTTCTTCAATATATTGTATAACTTGGATTGGTAGGCTTAGGCATCCTTTCTTGGGTAATAAATGTGTCTTGACTTGATGAATATGAATCGATAGGCTATTTAATTCCTTTCAGATATGAATGATGGATGTGTCTTGACTTGATGGCTATGAGTAGATAGGCTTTAGGCATTCTTTTCATAAATGATCTAATGTAATAAGGAATCTAGAATCGATAGGCTAGTGGCATTCCTCTCTTAATAAGGCAATGTACCATGAATCGATAGACTAGTGGTATTCCTTTCATGACTATGAGAATGTAATGAGGGACCATGAATCAATAGGCTAGTGGCATTCTTTTCATGAGGACCCTAGAGCTATCCTTGAATGTACCATGGATCGATAGGCTTATAGCATTCTTTCCTTGGTAATGATGTATCATGGGTCGATAGGCTTACGACATTCCTCCCTAGTACACTAATGTGATGTGAATGAATAAATCTATGGGAATGTAGGCTAAGATCCAAGTGGATATGGTTAGATGGAAACTCTCCCAATGCTAGGTTAGAGTTCCAAGGAACATCTTCCTATCCCATAACTATGTGCCCACATAGGATATGGATTTCATCCAAGCTAAGGATTCATCCGAGCTAATGTTATCATTTTACCTTAGGAAAGTGGAACACCTCTTTATGGTATGGGGCTATATGACACCGGATTCCATGTCTAGCATGCATGATCTATGTCAGTTAAACGCTTATTCCTTATTCCCATCATGTGATATGTGCATTATTGTTTCTTGAGAGGTTCTATAAAGTGTAGGTGGTAGTATGGGATGCCATCTATACATTGCACGAGTAGGCTTTGATAGGATCATAGTGAGTTCTCTAAGTCTTAATGACAAATGTGTGAAAGTCCTTTATAGGAACTAATTAAAGAATGTTGACTCCTAAATTCTTAATGTGATATGCATGCTATACTTGGGTGATATTATGAGTTATTTTCCCTTGAATGATATATCTCTTATGTATGGATATTATGAAAAGGTGAGGAAGGAATGGTAAGTTCACTCTTGGTGGACTTGATGTGGATGGTGGTATGGGACGCCATCCATGCATTGCACAAGGTATATCATAAGGGTCATTTAAAAGTGAAGGTCTAATGTGAAGGTAAAGGTTATCATGTTGATATTGTCAAAGTGTGATATTATGATTTGCAAGATGATTTTATTTGTCTTATATGTCTTTTATGCTATTGTACATGATATTTCTAAAAAGTGGCATAATGCGTGTTTCCAACCAAAATGTCCCTTTAAAAGTATGTTTTTGCATGGTCACTATACTTAATACTTTTTTGTGTGCTAACCCATATATCTCTTATTTTTACTACAACTGTAGGTTCCGGCAAATGATCGCGACTAGCTAGAGTTGAACTGCTTGGATAGAGTTTTCCTCTATATTTTTGGTATGTCCTCATGTATTCGAGGACAAGAACCTTTATGTTTCCTTATTGTTCATGTAATAGAAATTTCTAGTATTATCGATTGTAAAGGGGTCGTGACCCTATCTTGGTAAGTTATGTCTTAAGATTTACATGTGAGACTTAGTCTTCCGCTGTGTCTTTTGAAAGATGTTTAAATTAGTATTTTGATAGTTGGTTTTGAAATAACGTTTATTTTCGAACTATTTTCCTTATATTGAATGTTATGAATGCTTTGATGGTTGTATAAGACCCCTTCGGGGTCGAGTACACCGTGTTACGACTAGGGGGTGCTCTCGGGTCGTGACAAATCAATAACAAGGTATGGTGGTCTTGATCCTTCTCTAATTTTCCATTCAAGGAGCCAATCCAAAGTGATTTCAAGTTTCTCAAAAACCCTAGGTTTTACTCAGTCTCATAGGTTCTTTCATCAAATGTTTTCAATTGGAAAATTATGATTGTATTGGTGTTTAATTGATGATTTATAATGGAAATACTCTACGAACCCATGATTTCTCTCAATTCCTAAATTGTGCCTTAGGAAGTGGGTTTGTTGATATTGAATGAATGTTGATGGATTATGCCTAAATTGGTTTAGATTGTTGAATTGAATCACTATTCATGCCTAATTGTATTAGTTAAAGGATTGTTGGTGACTTATGATCATGGCCTTGAAATGTCAACTGATGACATAATTTTCATGTAAAAGTAGAATTGTGCTTGCATTGTTGATCTACTTGAAAGGTGGAGGTGTTTACTTACTACGTACATTGTGATCATGGCCTTGAAGGCATAGTATGATGAATTGAAGTATTATCATGATGTTATATATATTAATGTGATGTGAAGCATGTGTGTGATCTAAATAAATGAATTATGATCATGTTTAGAAGCTAACACTACAACATTTTAGGCCTAGGGCCACACTAATTCTGGACAACGCTTTTAAAGTGTTGCCTAAAATACTTTTGGGGACGCTTTTAAAGCGTAGCCCAAGTTTTTAACTTTTAGCTGTGATAATATTGGTAACACTTGTAAAGTGTACTCTTTAATGGTATAAGGTACACTTTATAAGCGTTGTTAAAGTATGATATAATTGGCAACAACTATTTACATATATGGCCACACTTTTAAAGTGACCTATTTTTATAATTGTAAAAAACAACACATTACAAATGTGGCCTTAAAATTTTCACTAAAATATTATATTCCCTCCAACATTTTTAACTCTCCCTCCCATTTTTATTGAGCAAAAAAAATATTTCATAAAACATTAAAATTTTCTTTTCCCCCAAATTAGAACTGA